AGCCGTGTTCCTGCTGTTGCTGCTGCTGCTGCTGTTGCTGTTGCTGCTAGTTGTGTTACTACTGTGGTTCTGCTTCTGCTGCTGATCGTTCTGTTTGTGTTGTTACTGCTTCTGCAGCAGCAGCAGCAGCAGCAGCAGCAGCAGCAGCAGCGCAGCAGCACTAGCACCCGCAGCCCCAGCACCAGCACAAACAGCAGCAACAGAAAAAATAAGAGTAAAGGAACGATCAGCAGCACCAGCAGCAGCAACAGCAACAGCACCAGCAGCAGCAACAGCAGCAGCAGCAGCAGCAGCAGCAGCAGCAGCAGCAGCAGCAGCAGCAGGAGTATGAATTTCTTTTTCTTACGAATTTGATAGAAACTATTTGGGGTGTACATCCACCCCCGGGGCCCCACAACATACCCCATACCCACATTATTATAATTATTTAGGGGCCTCATCTCCTCTCTTATAAACCCTAAACAAACAAACCCATCTCTCTCCTTTATTTTTTCTTTTTCTTTTTCTTCTTCTCTCGGCGTCATTCCATACAAACACTCAAAAGGGGTACTCCACAGCCAGCAAGAAGGGGGCCCCCCAGGGGCCCCCTGGGGGCCCCCCTCCAAGTAGCCAGGGGCCCCCACACCTGAGGAGAGCTGTGGAGGTGTTGGATTTGTTTGCTGCTGTTAATACAGCCAAATGCAGCGAAGACATCAGCTGCCCCCAGTCGCTACGCAAATGCAACTCTGCAGACCAAGGGGGGCCCCCACGGGGGCCCCCAGGAGAGGGGCCCCCAGGAGAGGGGCCCCCAGGAGAGGGGCCCCCAGGAGAGGGGCCCCCAGGGGGGGGCCCCCCCGTGGGGGGGGCCCCTGGAGGGGGGGCCCCCTGCGGGAGAACGTCAGAAGGGGGGCCCCCCGAGGAGGAGGGGCCCCCTGTATTGGTGTATAGGGGGCCCCCCTGGGGGGCCCCTGTGTGTGTTAGGGTTTGTTTTGTGTGTGAGTTGAGTGGTGTTTGTGTGTGGTTTGTTTGTGTCAGTGTGTTGTTTATGCATACACCCGAATAATTATAATATTTTATTTGTTTTAGTTTATTTTTATTTTTATTTTTATTTTTATTTTTTTCTTTTTCTCTCTGCTGTATACACAAAAGAAAAGATAGGTTTATTGAGCCCCCACCCACATACAGCTGGGGGTCACCGGCGTTGAGAGAGAGAAGGGGGCGGGGGCAGCGCGCGGAGTATACAGGTGTGAAGGCAGCAGCAGCAGCAGCAGCAGCAGCTGCTGCTGCTGCTGCTGCTGCTGCTGCAGGAGATGAAACGAAACCCTTGCAGCCGCAGCGTCGACAGACACCATGCTGCTGCTGCTCCTGCTGCTGCTGCTGCTGCTGCTGCTGCTGCTGCTGCTGGTTGTGATGGTGAGCCAGAGGGCTGTGTGGGCGAACTCTTCGGCGCTTCAATTCGTCAGATAAACCGTTGCAGCTGCTGCTTGGTTGCTGCTGCTGCTGCTGCTGCTGCTGCTGTTGCTGCTGCTGCTGCTGCTGCTGAGGAAGGTTTGCTTCGGTTGAGCGCCGTTTGTGGTTACCTGCGTTTGCTTCTCCCGCTGGCGTTGCTGCATGAGCAGCAGCAACATCTTTTTGCTGCTCGAGCTTTTGTTTGTTCTGCTGCTGCTGCTGCTGCTGCTGCTGCTGGTTGCTGGTAGTGGTGCAGCCGTTGCTGCTGCTGCTGCTGCTGCTGCTGCTGCTCTCATCGCAGCAGCAACGCAGAGAGCCTGCAGGAGGAGGAGGAGCGCCGGGGGAGACGTGCAGCAGGAAGCGGAGGCCACCCAGCTGCATGCATCGCCTGGAGTAGTAGGAGCAGCAGCAGCAGCAGCTGCTGCTGCTGCTGCTGCTGGGGGCCCCCATTTGCATTCAGGTGTACAGACACCCCACTGTGTGCAGTCTGTGAAGACCCTCCTTCCTGAGGATGTATGAAGTGCTGCTGTTTCTGCTGCTGCTGCTGCTGCTGCTGCAGCAGCAGAGGCAGCAGCAGCAGCGAGAAGAGCAGCTGCAGCAACTGCTGCTGTAGGAGCAGCAGCAGATATACACAAGGATGCAGTTGGTGAGCAGCACGCTTAAAGGAGAATATATTTTTATGTTTTAAATTCTTTTTATCTCAATAAAAAAGAAAGAAAACCTCAGCATACACCTGGGGCTTGGGGTGTATAGGCAGCTCCCGGGGTAGTGGTGTTGCTGCACGCCTCGGTAGTAAACCGAGCCAGCAGCAGCTCAGCAGCTCAAATATTTAATGAAATTAAATAAAATTAAAAAGTATTTATAAATTTAATTAAATAAAATCCGAGTTTTTGTGTTTTTTTATTTTTATTTTCTCTATTATCTCCCCCCCGGACCCTGGGGCTTGGGGTGAGCTGCTGGTGTGGCGGCCCTGCGTTTCGCTGCCTCTGTATGTGTTTCGTTTTTTCTTTTTTGGTTTTCTTTTGTTATTTGTGATAAATAAAACTAAAAGTAAGGCATTTGTTGTGGAGTGCTCCTCCTGAGCCTTCGATAGAGGGGCCTAGCGCCGTGTGTTGTCTGCTGCTGCATGCGACAGCAGCAGCAGCAACCAGCACAGCGAAGCAGCAGCAGCAGCAGCAGCAGCAGCAACTGCTGCAGCTGCAGCAACAAGCAACGCAGCAACACCACCGCTGCAGCAGCAGCAGCAGTACCGCCCGCAGCATCAGCAGCACCTGCAGCAGCAACAGCAGCAGCTCCCGCATCAGCAGCAGCAGCAGCAGCAGCAGCAGCAGAATGGAGGTGGACGGGGTATCTGAATGTCCCGCGTGGCTGCAGCAGCTGCTGCAGCAGCCTGTTGAGCCCTTTGCTGCTGTTCTTAAGGCGCAGGCAGCAGCAGACCCCAACGCTGCTGCAGCAATCGAATGCTTACAAAACCTCCATGAAAAAAAGTAAAACAAAAAAAAGGGTTTAGGGTTTAGGGTTTAGGGTTTAGGGTTTAGGGGGGTTTAGGATAGATCAACACTATATGAGCTCGGTCGCACTGTTTCTGTTGCTGCTGCTGCTGCTGCTGCTGCTGCTCCTGCTGCTGCTGCTGCTGCTGCTGCTGCTTCCTTCGGTTTTGCTCGATGTGTAGTATTATTTATTAATATATATATTATATATAATATATATAACAATAATACAAATATATAATATATAATATATAATATATAAAAATATACATATTTTTATTATTTGTTGTTATTGCTTAGGTTTCATAAAAAAAAAAATAAAATAAAATAAAATAAAATAAAAGTATATAAAAATAAATTAAATAAAATAAATGAAATAAATAATATTATACGTTGTAAAGTAAATAAAACAAATAAACCAAATAAATAAAATAAAATAAACAAAAACAAACAAAACTACTTGCTATTGTTGTTATACATAACTAAAATAAATAAAACAAATAAAAAAAAAATAAATACATATATTTTTTTTTTTTTTTTTTTTTTTTTTTTTTTTTTTTTT